TTGGACTTGGTCACATTCTCTTGTATACCGACGATATCTTCAGTTTGACCCCTTTTTAATCTGCTCCGTATGTTATAAATCACCCTGTATAGATATGATTATCGATAACGGTGTACCAGCCATTAGATCCAAGTTTATTGGTTCCAAATTGATGATAATGGATTAAGATAACATAATTCATAAGCAATACCACCTAGTTACATCAATTTCTTATGCACAAGCCAGGAAATCCCACAATATCAAAATTGACAATCATCTACATAAAATTCTGTTATTACTAAAAAACTGAAAGTGATAGAGAAAAAGGTTTCCCATAAAAATTGATGATAATGAATCAAGATAACATAATTCATAACCAATGCTATCATAGATATCACCCTTTCTTAGGTACAATCCAAGAACTTTCAAAATATCAAAATTGATAATCACCTGCGTTAAATTCTGTTATAAGTAGAAAATTAAAGGTGATAGAGAAGAAGGTTTCCCATAAAAATTGATGATAATGAAGCAAGATAACATAATCCATAGTTAATGCCACCATAGATATCACCATTTCTTAGGTTCAACCCAAGAATTCTCAAGAAATTCTGTTATAAGTACAAAATTTAAGATGATAGAGAAAAACGTTTGCATAAAAATTAATGATAATGAATCAAGATATCATAATTCATAACCAATGATACTATTTCTTAGCTTCAAGCCAGAAATTCTCAAAATATCAAAATTGATAATCATCTGGCTTAAATTCTGTTATATTTAATTATGTTTTCATCCATTATCACTACTTAATTACACATTAATTAATTCGACATGCGTGTGTGTATGCCAAGAAATACTTTGTTAGCAGTGGTAAAATATCAGCTAAGATGCCATCAATTACTATTATGTCAAAAATGACACTAACAGACTTCAGGGCTTAACAAATTGTTAGGAATTACACTGGATAGATTCCATGTTGCAAGTAAAGTCTTGTCAGAAGTCAGAGTTCAAAGGCAAATGTGGAATTACAAATTATGAAGATGTCTAAAATTGTGCATATAGAAACAAAAAAGATGACTGAGATGATCCTAAATGATACGAATTTAGTAGGTAAAATTAATAAAGATTAATCCTTACTTAATAATACATTTCTTTCTGTATACATTGTTCATCACACTATCTATCACCAACATATGATTAATTTTATAACTAGTTTTCACTTGTTTATTTCGATTGGACTATTATCAAACTGCCAGACACGTTATACATTAAACTATGAGTTTTGTGTTTTAAAAGCACTCGAGTATAAGTGATACTGTTGGAGTAATTGCCATTACCTACTCGGTTGGTCATTAAGATTACAAAAATTTTTATCTTTGGTGTAATATAACAAAGTGAGATCAACTCGCTACGTAAACGATGACGTTATTTTTCGTAACATAAATATGAAGGAAAGATATTTATTTGTTTACTACTACTGAAGATTAAAAATTATCATAGGAGTTTTGATAAAGCGATTCAAGTTCAAATTAAAGCGATTCGAATACAATAAAGTTTTAAAAAAAATGAATTAAACACATCAATATTGTGCAATTAGGATCGTTAGATAACCGTGACGTTTATTTACGAAAAAGTTAATTGCCTACGCACGATTACGTGAACACGTTACACAAACAAAAACCGACAACTTCTTCAAATACCGCCGAAGAGAACTTCCACCTCCGTTACCCATACCTCTATATTGGAATACCTTTTGAAATACCATCCGATACAAAATAATAAACGACAAGGATGACAACGTCGACCTCTTTCTATAATCACGAATAACTACTATTCTATAACTACTACTATGTACTGGTAGATGGGTTTTGTTTCGGTTCTCAGGTTTGGCGTAAACGCGTACACATAAACCGCTGACAGCGCTTGTTTCCTCATTGTTGGCAGTCTTGCGTAAGAGAGACGCTTTGTTGTGCCACGTCGTTTTAGATGCGGTTATAAACGACATAAATAGTCTGCGATTTTCCGCTCGGTGTAGCTGTAAAGGTGTAAATGTGTAAATGTGTTAAGGCGCCTCTATCTTCCATAAACGGTTAGTTACAATAACAAGGATATCGAAAAATATATATTTTTGTACTAAACACTCTATTATAAATAGAAATTGTGAAAATTTCTTCAATAAATCATGATCGTGTTAGTATTTTTTTTCAGGTTTTATTTTGAAATACTTTCAAACCCAAATCAATCACGTGTTAAAAATGAAAACATGCGCAACGTTCGATAAGCAACTAAAAATGATAAAACCAAACGATGGAATATATTAAAATAATTTTGTTTAAATTTGAATCAATGATTTTTTGAACTTACCGTTATCGAAAAAGTATTATCCGAGATCAATGTTAGTTGTTCGTCGGTGTTTCAGTTTTCGCTATCCGAAATGACTGATCACGCACGTACACGTCCGTTTGAATTCGTTTTTCATCATACCGTCGGGACGTCGTTTCAAATCGAACTGGCGGCGCTTGGTACACAAACATCGGATCGCGGTCGACACCGACTCTACTCCGACTAAATAACGGTAGATGACGAATGTTGTTCGCGTGCCATTGCTGTTTAACCATTTTTTTTTATCTTTTTTGTTTCAGTCGAAAAATTAACTAGATAGAGTCCACTTTCTCGCTTTTATAACATATATCCACAATAAATGTCTTGCTGGTGAGGCTGATATCACTTCCTTAAGGGTAGGTAGGTTCCTAAAAAAAAAAAGAAAAAAATTTTTGAGAAACTTCAATTTTAATACATAACGTGTTGAGTTTCAAAACGTCACATTTACAGTGACGGACAAAAGTCTACATACACTTGAGTTAAAGAAATCAAGTAGGAGTTGCATAAAGTAACTGGCATTGCATTTTCTTTTATCTTAATTTTTGATGAAATTGGACAGTGATGAGGAATATAATATGCAGACTTGTTGTGAAAATCGTTCTTAGGAATAAGTGACATATGGTTTTGTGAGAGATAATAAGATACGATTGTCCTAGATCTGGATGTTCACCTTTGAACGGAAACGATAAAATGAAATGATTTTCACATAAAATGTCTTCTGGGGCTTCAGTTATAACGCCTTTTGGATTATCCAGAATTTTTTTAACAGGACAGGGTTTTGGATGAACACAAAAAATTCGAGGTAAAAAATTGTATAACTTTTTTCGCCCACATCTCAAATGAAAGAATTCCTTATTTTTGCAGAAATAATCAAAACAGAGTAGTTAGTTACAATATTTTTGCGTTGACTGTCTTTTCAACAAAATAGATAAAATCCATCATTTAAAAATCACCCAATAGACAACCTAAGCCTTGACGTCACAGAGATAGGCGGAGCTTATACTGACTCTAAACATTTTGACTTATTTGTAATCTTCATTAAAAATCCTTTAAAATGAGTACAAACACGACATATTTATCTTCAATATTAATGAAGTTATGGTCAACTTCCGGTTAGAAATGTCAATGTCATTTTGACAAATTCTTAATTTTTATAAAATGTCTTAAAATTTATCACAAAAATACAATAAAAACTATTTAAAATTAAGGTTGGTATTAATATTTAATAATTAAATTGCTATCTTCATTGTTGCTAACTTCGGGTTTGACGTTTTTTTGTTCAAACTTTTTTGCTTTTTAAGATAAGTGTGTCATCTTTGGACTCATTTTAAAGGTTTTTTAATGAAGATGACAAATATGTCAAAATTGACGTTGACGTTTCAAACCGGAAGTGGTTGTATTTCCATTAATATTAAAGTTAAATATGTCGAGTTTGAACTCATTTTAAAGGATTTTTTGTTAAGTTGACAAATATGTTATAATTAAAAGTTCGAACTTTTTGGTTTTTTGAGATAAATGCGTCAAGTTTGGACTCACTTTAAAGGTTATTTTATGAGGATTACGAATATAATAATAAAATTAAAGTTGACATTAACAACAACGTTTTTTTCACGACTAAACCCGACTGTTTCTAGTTCTAGGTCTTGTGTTAGTTCTAGTTGATAGTGCTAGTGTAAAATTAGAACTAACACTAGACCTAGAACTAGAAATATTCTAGTTTTGGCTATTTCTAGGTTTAGGTCTAGTTTTAATTGTTACTTAACCCTAAATTCTTGTACATTTTAGTTGATCTAAAAATTTTTTTTTTTGATTTAATCCACTTACCTTGCTTATAATTTCATCCATTTACCCATTTTGAATTAAATACAACCTTTAAATCCAATTAATTACGGGTTTTTAATAAAAAAAAACTTAAATTCAACGTCCATTTTGACATGTAACTGCAATATTTGGATAATCACCATGGTAACGGAGTCAAGTTGGATAACCTTAAAATAATAAAATTTTATTCCGATTTTTTTATCAATTCTAACCGAATTTTTATTAATTTTAAAACATTTCGAATTCTTTACGATTATCTCGCATTCATAACAAATTCGTTAATTGTAATTAATTTAAATCGATTCTAATTAGGAGAAATAAATTTTTTGATTTAATCCACTTACCCTAATATTATAATTCCCTAGATAAACCAATTTTGAGTTAAATACAGCCTTTTAAACCAATTAAATAAGACTTTTTCCTTAAAAAAACTTAAATTCAATTTCAATTTTAACAAGCGTCTGCAATGTTTGGATCTTAATCACCATGGTAACCGAGTGAAGTTGGATAACCTAAAAATAATAAAATTTTAACCGTTAATATTGCACTTTATATTTTAATATTTTTTTATTTCAACTCAACGGACGTTTCTTCGCTTCAACAAAATTTGGCAATGAATTTATTATTAATTTTATTAAAAATGAAATAATTAAAATTTTATTTTAAAATGCGCCATCTATGAATCGATTGCCGAAGTTTACTTGTTTCAATAATTAAATTAGATTTAAACAATAACGTTTAAACCCTTCTGCGTTGTTTAAATGTTAAATAAAATCGTGATCGTTAAAAAAATTTATTTATTAATTATTATTAATAACATCGAAAATGTCAACCATTTGAGGTTAAAAACGTCAATTTTAAATTAAATTTACTGGCTTATACCATAAGTTATTACTACATGATCACTTTTAACAATACCAACTAAAGTCCTAATACTAATAGCGAAGGTAACATATTCAGGTCTAATTTTCATCGAAAAAATAGGAACGGTACAGTTTATAACTTTAGCATGATATCTAGCATTGGTAGTTATTCTATAATTGTATTTATCAGCTCTGGATTGGCCGATTACTTCGAATCGAATAAACATTTTATTTTTGTCTTTATCCTTTTTGGTTGTAACTTTAAAGATATATCCCAAAGTAATTAAACATACAACATCTTGTACTTCGCCAACGAAAGAAATGGTTCTTGTCATTTGGTGGTTATAAAATATGATATTGATGTGTTCGATTCTTAAGTGTTCAATAATATCCTTGTATTGTCCATGCCATTCGCATAAATGTGAATTACTAAACGGGCAAGAATAATTACAGGAATTACAAATGTGGTTTTGGTCATTTCGTTTGGGATAAATCGACTTATAATTAATTGGGACATCTATAAGATTACTTATTGACTCAACGACGTAATTTCTCGCTGAACTAAACGAACCCAAACACAAAGGACATCTTTTTAAATTCTTCCTACACTTTATACACACACTATGCCCCGTTTTGCAAAGAGAAATTTCGCATTTCATCGAATCCTTACAAACGGGACATTCCATATACTCTAAAAGAGAATTAGTATTAATTTTAAACCCCTCTTTGTTAATCGTAACAATCGTTTCGAAATTATCTCGCAACGTTGATTTTAAAAAGTCTAAATCGAAAATAATCGATTCATTTTTGATGTGTTTTTCGTTTAACATCGAGTCGTGTAATAAAAACATCGTTTGAGGTTTCGTTAATAAATTGCAGCCTCTATTTTGAATGGTAAATTTAAAATTGTTCGTTTCATTTAAATTTCCGATAAAGTAGACGAAAAACATTAATTTGTTGCCTTTTACGGCGACATAAAAAATAAAATAATGTTCGTTATTAAATAATAAAATTCTTATGGTTTCGAATTGTGAGTTGTAGTTAAAATTAAAATTATAATGGTAATTATCAAATATTTTAATGGAATCTTTGTGTTTTTCTTTTATGTGTGATAGAATATCTTCGTAAACCCCACAGCAATCCGACGATTCAAAATTTAAAATCGAAAAAGGACACATTTTATCTCTATAATCACAAATCGTTTCGTGCTCAGAAATTTCTTTAAAATAACACTGCTTTGGACATCCTTTCGTTACATATTTACAAAACAACTTAACATCTAAAAGCATTGAGTGCATATCCTCATTAATTTCCGCATCTTTATACTCAGTCTTTGATATGCAAGATCCACAAAAAATTCCTACATTTTCTACCTTCATCACAGGATATTGCACTCGAGTATTGCAATAAAGACACTTAAACATTTCAGAACTTATAAAATCAACTGCTACAACTTTATTTGCCATATTCAAAACCTTAAAAGAAATAGAAACAATTTCGATTTTAATACTTTAATTTCTTACCTACAATTTTGTTATTTAATAATCGAACAAATCTAAAATGATGTGGTTTTTAACATTTCACGTGTTCTAAAACAGGTTTTTGGCCAACTTGTTCGATCTCTTTCTAATTCATAAAGTTAATTTATTTCGTTAAATTAACTTATATTATTTAGAATTCTTAATTATTACGTTCCAAATTTCTTTTAATTTGTGAAAAATGTTTTTTTTTTTTTAGGTTATGTTAACGTTTTTTTGACACATTTATTTTTACGGATATAGCGACCTCTATGATTTAAATTTAAATCATCCTTTTTTTTAAATAAATTAATTTAATTAAAATCAATTAATTAATTGAATCATTACATTAATCTAATTCACTTTTTAACAATAAAATTTAAATAAAATTATTATTTTTGAATATGTGGCGCCACCTATAATTTAGTGATCAATCAAAAAACGTAAATAAACAACATAACCTAACTTTTTGAAATTTTAATTTTATTATTTTAAAACGGCCAAACCCGAATGATTCTAGTTCTTGGTTTAGCGCTGCATAACAATTAAAACTAGAAAGTTAATTTATTTCATCAAAATTAACTTATATTATTAAAGAATAAATATTTATACAGGTGTCCCGTATCTTCCGCATCAGAGCATTATACGGTTGTAGGATACATTATTCTAAAGCGATCTTTCTAATAAAATTTTTCCAAATTGTTTATAATAACCGAACGGGAACTGTTTAAAGTCCCTCCAATACCGATTAACTTCGAATATTTAGTATTCTGGAAGTAATATTTATTCTTCTAGACACGGTATTTAGGTTCCTAGACCAGTGTTAGTCCTCTAAAAGCAATATTTAGGTTTCTAGAAGCAATATTTAGTCTTCTGGAGCAGTATATAATCTTTTGGTAGCCCTTTCTGAAAGGAGTATTTAGTGTTCTGGAAACAATATTTATTCTTCTGAACGCCATACTTAGGTTCGTAGACCAGTGTTAGTCTTCTGAAAGCAATATTTAGTATTCTGGAAGAAATATTTATTCTTCTAGACACCATATTTAGGTTCCTAAACCAATGTTAGTCTTCTAAACGCAATATTTAGGTTTCTAGAAGCAATATTTAGTCTTCTGGAGCAGTCTTTTGGTAGCCAAGTTTGTCTTCTGAAAGGAATATTTAGTATTCTGGAGGCAATACTTATTCTTCTAAACGCCGTATTTAGGTTCCTAGATCAGTGTTAGTCTTCTAAAAGCAATATTTAGGTTTCTAGAAGCAATATTTAGTCTTTTGGAGCAGTATCAAGTCTTTTGGTTGCCAAGTTTGTCTTCTGAAAGGAATATTTAGTATTCTGAAAGCAATATTTATTCTTCTAAACGACGTGTTTAGGTTCGTAGACCAGTGTTAGTCTTCTGAAAGCAATATTTAGTATTCTGGAAGCAATATTTATTCTTCTAGAAGCCGTGTTTACGTTCCTAGACGAGTGTTAGTCTTCTGAAAACAATATTTAAGTTTCTAGAAGCAATATTTAGTCTTCTGGAGCAGTATCCAGTCTTTTGGTAACCATGTTTGTCTTCTGAAAGGCATATTTAGTATTCTGGAAGCAATATTTATTCTTCTAGACGCCGTATTTAGGTTCCTAGACCAGTGTTACTCCTCTGAAAGCAATATTTAGTATTCTGGAAGAAATAGTTATTCTTCTAGACACCATATTTAGGTTCCTAAACCAGTGTTAGTCTTCTAAACGCAATATTTAGGTTTCTAGAAGCAATATTTAGTCTTCTGGAGCAGTATCCAGTCTTTTGGTTGCCAAGTTTGTCTTCTGAAAGGCATATTTAGTATTCTGGAAGCAATATTTATTCTTCTAGACGCCGTATTTAGGTTCCTAGATCAGTGTTAGTCCTCTGAAAGCAATATTTGGGTTTCTAGAAGCAATATTTAGTCTTCTGGAGCATTATCTAATCTTTTGGTATTCGTGTTAAGTTACTGGAAGCAATATTTAGTCTTCTGGAGCAGTATCTAATCTTTTGCTATTAGTGTTAGTCTATTGGAAGCAATATTTAGACTTTTGAAGCAGTATGCAGTCTTTTGGTAACCAAGTTTGTCTTCTGAAAGCAATATTTAGTATTCTGGAAGCAGTATTTAGGTTCCTAGACCAGTGTTAGTCTTCTGAAAGCAATATTTAGGTTTTTAGAAACAATATTTTGTCTTTTAGAGCAGTATCAAGTCGTTTGGTAGTCAGGTTTGTCTTCTGAAGGCAATATTTAGTATTTTGGAAGTTAGTCTTCTGAAAGCAAAATTTTGGTTTCTAGAAGTAATGTTTAGTCTTCTGAAGCAGTATCTAGTCTTTTGGTCTACATATTTTTCTTTGAAAGCAATATTTAGTCTTCTGGAAGAAGTATTTAGTCTTTTGGAGCAGTATCTAGTCTTTTGGTATCAGTGTTAGTCTACTGGTAGCAATATTTAATCTTCTGGACGTCGTATTTAGCCTCCAGTATTGCACTAGCATTGTTACTATGTGTTTTAATTTGTTTCATTAAAGTTAACTTATATTATTTAGAATTCTTAATTATTATGTTCCAAACTTCTTTTAATTTGTGAAAAATGTTTATTTTTTTTAGGTTATGTTAACGTCTTTTTTGACACATTTAATTATTATTATAAGCGACCTCTATGATTTAAATCATAATTTTTTTAAATCAATTAATTTAATTTAAAAAAATTAATTAATTGAATCGTTATTTTAATCTAATTCGCTTTTTAATAATAAAATTTAAATAAAATTATTATTTTTGAATCATATGTGGCGCCATCTATAATTTAGTGTTGAATCAAAAAAGTCAAATAATCAACATAACCTAACTTTTTAATATTTTAATTTTATTTTAGATAAAAATGTCTCAAAGAAGAAGTAAAAAATCGTTAAATAAATCACAAAGTGATTCAGATGAGAGCGATCCCACTGAATTTATCGAAGAATCGGTAAAAAGATGCGTTCGTTATTTCTTGGTGGCTTCCGAGGGGAATTATCCTATAAAAAAGAATGATATTAAGAAAAATGTTCCTATAAAAACCTCGGGGGCTTTTCAACTAGTTATGAAAGAAACAACAAAAGCTTTAAAAGATATTTTTGGTTATAAAGTGGTTGAATTAGAGGATGGGTTTTATGTTTTATTAAAAAATTTTAATGATGATAAAAATCCAAAGAAGATTTTAACATTATTAGTTTTATCCCACGTTTTTATGAGTGGTGATTCAACATCTGAAGGTACAATAACACAAATAATAAATAAAAAAATAAATTGAATGATTTTTAGCTTCGATGAAATCGTTTTTGAATTCATTAAACATCGATTTGGAGAAAAACCACGATTTTTTCGGTAATGTTAAAGAATTTGTTTTCGTTACTTTGGAGAAGCAAAAATATTTAAGTGTTGTGGTTGATGATTTAACAAAAATAAGAACGTTTAAGTGGGGAGCTCGAGCGGAAGCTACAATTTGCAAAGAAACGATTTTAAAATTTGTTTGCGAGGTAATCCAATTTATTTTTAGTGGTTTTATTATTGGGAGCATTTCTTAATTTTAGATTTATAATACTAGGAGGAATATCCAACCTGAACAGTTTAAGGAACAATTCGAAAAAGCACAACAACAAAATTTTAATCAATAATCAATTTTTGACATCTGTCATTATTGGTGTTAACGAATTTAAAAGCAGAAATCTGTAATTTAAACTCCAGTGCCCTTGCATTTTTCATGATGAGAGATAATAATAATCCCTTAAGTAGTTTGCTTACATTTATTTAATTAAAATACATTATTTATTTCAAATTAATTAAAACTATCTCAATTCGAAAAAGCACATCAACAAAATTTTAATCAATTTTTGACATCTGTCATTATTGACATTAACGAATTAAAAATAGAAATCTGTAATTTTACCCTTGCATTTTTCATGATGAGAGATAATAATAATCCCTTAAGTAGTTTGCTTATATTTATTTAATTAAAATACATTGCTTATTTTAAATTAATTAAAACTATCTCTTCAATTCGAAAAAGCACAACAACAAAATTTTAATCAATAGGTTAACGAATAAACAATGTTTGAAGATAAACAATAAAATAAACGAAGGAGTAATTCACAAAATTCATTATGACTTGTCTCTGAATTTGAATATTTCCTAACGATAACAATATAGGTTGATATTCCAAGTTAAACATTAAATGTTCCACATGATTTATTTGAATTGCACTCTTTTTTGAGGGAACTTTATAAATAAACGACAAAAAACTGCGATCCTAAAATTAAAACGTTACAAATTAATACTTTACAAACTAAACTTACCGTTTTTATTAGTTTTTCAGCGTCATTAGTGAGTACAAAGACGCAAAATCCTCCAAGTACCGTATTAATTGATATTGCAATGAGCCAAATATCATCAACACGATTATTGTACTTAATTTTTTCGCCTATAGCACATAAACCAATCATTCCCATAACAATGCAAAATAATATGTATAGTATTGTAACGGTTGTCATGTAATTGCTAAATTTTGTGATGTGGTAACAAATTTGTTGGCGAAATTCTAATAGGTTTTTGGTATAAAAGTTTTTTTTAACATATTCGTAAAAATCATCAACTATAGATGTGATTAAATAGAAATAGACGTCAATAAACGCAATAAGACCATAAAACGACCATATATTTAAAGTATATACGACTGCCACTAATAAGCTGTGATATGAAAAGAATACAAGAGGTGCAGAAATTAAGTGATAAATGCTAATGAGAACTACATAAAAATACACTCTTCGATGACACTTTTTTATAATACCATCAAAATTTGAATTAATATAATAATTATTAATCCTTGTTATGATGCTTTCCAACCATTTAATATATTTACGATAAGATGATAGAAATGAAACGCTTATTAGAACCATCACCCAGCCAGGATAAACGATATGTATCATCATTAACACATCTACCAAGCTTTTTATTTCGAATTCACGAAAAGTTAGCTTAAGCACCATCAATAACTGAATTGTAACACGAGTTAAGGAAAAATTCATGTAATTTCTGTTGTATTTAACGGCTATTAACTTTTTTTCGTGATCACAGTTGAAAGAACACGGGAAAAGGCCGAGTATTAAACAAATTCTTATCAATGGTTTCAATACGCATAAAATACAATCTTGTTTTCGTCGCATTTTTATTATGAATATTAGTTTTAAAAAACATTTTCGGTTTAAATATGATTTATTATGTACAAATGGGGTTTTAAATATTTAATAGATGAGTTTTTAATGAAGTATTGATTATTTATCTATAAGTAAATCTATGTATCTAAATAAGGCATCTAGAAGAATAAATATTGCTTCCAGAATACTAAATATTGTTTTCAGAAGACAAACATGGCTACCAAAAGACTGGATACTGCTCCAAAAGACTAAATATTGCTTCTAGAAACCTAAATATTGCTTTTAGAAGACTAACACTGGTCTAGGAACTTAAATACGGCGTCTAGAAGACTAGATAATACTTTAAGAAGATTAAATATTGCTTTCAGAAGATAAACATGATTACCAAAAGACTGGATACTGCTCCAGAAACCTAAATATTGCTTTCAGAAGATTAAAACCGATCTAAGAACCTAAATACGGCGTCTGGAAGAATAAATATTGCTTCCAGAATACTAAATATTGCGTTCAGAAGACAAACTTAGCTATTAAAAGACTGCATACTGCTTCAAAAGACTAAATATTGCTTCCAGAAGACTAAATATTCCTTTCAGAAGGCAAACTTGGCTGCCAAAAGACTAGATACTGCTTCTAAAGACTAAAACATTGCTTCCAGTAGATTAAAACTAATACCAAAAGATTAACTACTGCTTTTAGAAGACTAAATATTCTAAATAAGACTAAATAAGCGAGCAAGTAAGTATTGTAAAAAAGCTTCCAATAGTAATTTTACTTGAGAGAAAGAAACATAACCTCAATTCAGTTGATAGTTAATTTTTAGTTGCTCATAATTCTTTTAAAACTGTTAATATCCGTTGTAAACCATCCAAATCGGGAAGATCAATGTCAGTTATATCTAATTAATTAGATTTTGAAAGATTTTGACATTGAAAATTGGATTTAGAATTTGTAAAATTCTTTTTTGGTTGGAAAACTTTCAAACCTGCAATGGACAGCTGAAATAAAAAAGTATACGCTTCAAATACGAAGTTTCATTCAGATTAGTGAAGAATTAAAGAAGATATGAATAAAATAAGTTAGACTGGGATTTTTTTGACATCTGTCATTATTGCTGTTAACGAATTTAAAAACAGAAATCTGTAATTTTAACTTCCGTTTTCTTGGATTTTTCATCTTCATTAGAGCTCTTGTTTCACCTCTCTCTCCGTTTCCGAATCATCATTGTTATCCACATTCAGTAGTAATTCCTCGAATTTGAACGCTTCGGAAAATGAGATAAAATTAGGGCTTTGATTTTGCAGAGTACACAAGATTACGACCCGAGCAAGTAAGTATTGTAATAAAGCTTCAGAGGCTGGTTTTACCTGAGAGAGAAAGAAACATAACCTCAATTTAGTTGACAGTTAATTTTTAGTTGCTCTTAAAACTGTTAATATCCGTTCTAAACCATCCAAATCGGGAGGATCAATGTCAGTTATATCTACGCTTCAAATACGAAGTTTCATTCAGATTAGTGAAGAATTAAAGAAGATATGAATAAAATAAGTTTTGGAATTTTGATTTTTTTGACATCTGTCATTATTGACGTTAACGAATTTAAAAATAGAAATCTGTAATTTAAACTCCGGTGTTCTTACATTTTTCATCTTCATTACAGTTCTTGTTTCATCTCGAAGAATGGCAGTTCTACCTTTGTTTCAGCAGTTTGTATCACCCCTCTCTCCGTTTCCGAATCATCATTGTTATCCACATTCAGTAATTCCTCGAATTTGGACGCTTCGAAAAATGAGATAAAATTAGGGCTATGATTTCGCAGAGTACGCAAGATTACGACCCAAGCAACTAAGTATTGTAAATAAAACTTCCGAGACTGGTTTTACCTGAGAAGATAACCTCAATTTAGTTGACAGTTAATTTTTAGTTGCCTTCAAACTGTTAATATCCGTTGTAAACCATCCAAATCGGGAATATGTAGAAAAATATATGCTTCAAATACGAAGTTTCATTCAGATTAGTGGAGAATTAAAGAAGATATGAATATTGAAATTTTGATTTTTTTGACATCTGTCATTATTGACTTAACGAATTTAAAAATAGAAATCTGTAATTTAAATAATAATCCCTTTAGTTTGCTTACATTTATTTAATTAAAATACATTGCTTATTTCAAATTAATTAAAACTATCTCTTTGCTTTCTTCGTTTTCGGTTTTTTCTTATCCTTTTTATTCTTCTTATTTTTTTTATATTTCTTCTCACTACTTGTACTGCAATCAGAGTCACTCCCACTGGAAGATGAACTCAAACTATCTTTGGAAGAGCTCCTTTTCCTCCTTGATTTTTCCTCATTCTTTTTATACCTCCCTGAAGTTCTTGATTTTACATTTCTTCTCACATCCTTTTTATCATCATCATCATTTTTTAATCTCCTCTCTTTCTCTTTGTAACTTTTATATCTTTTATTATCATCATAAACTTTATTTCTACTTGACGTTTCGTAATATCGATTTCTTTCCCTACTTTTAGAGCTATTTCTTGAAGTGCTTTGATTTCTTGATGACTCATAATTTGACTTTCTATCTCTCTTATAGCGTTCTTCTTCAATACGTTTATTTTTAGACTTTTTTTTCTCATTTTTGAAGCTTTCATTTCTTAAATATCTTCCTTTCCCCAAATCGTTTCTTTTACTATCATAATTAATAACCCCTTTGCCTTTTCCAAGCCATTTAACTTTAGCAACCGATTGTGAGAAATCAACGTGAATTCTCCGATCGTCAATAAGAACATTATCCATTTTAAAATAAGCATCTTCGCATGATTTTTGTTCGTCGAATTCAACGAAAGCATATTGAAGGGATTCCCCGGTTTTTCTATCTCTTATAACTTCGCACGAATTAATCTTTCCAAATCTGCTGAAGATTATGTTAAGATCTTCGTCTGTTGTAACCGGATTTAATTTGCAAATGAAAAGAACGTTTTCCGGGGGAGTCATATCCGCGTCGGGGATATCCCCGATCATCTCTAAAATCGTTGCCCCCGCTTTCGCTAATTTATCGGCTACGATTTCGTTGATTTCTTGGGCCGATTTGCCCTCTGTTTCGTCGATTTCTTCATCGGGGGCAATTCTCCCACCTTGCAATCGCTCCGCTGATGGTGAAGGCGATCTTTCTGGAACAATTAACCCCTCGGGATCAGGAAAAGGATCGTCTAACACCACAGTATGAGTAATCCTCACATCTTGATACGGCCGATTATCTTGATCACAAATTGTTTCGTTTAAAATATCTAAAATATCCAATCCTTCAACAACTTCCCCAAAAACGCAATGCTGCTCGTCTAAATACATCAAATCCGTTCCAAGGGTTATAAAAAATTGACTCCCCAACATCCCATCTTCATTCCCCACGAAAGAAACCAACCCCGGAATTGTGTGTTTGATCCTGGGCATTTTCTCCGATTGGAAGTAACGTTTTAAAGGACCCTCAATAACTCCGTGGATTGATTCGCCACCGTTTCTTGAACCCGTCGGATCGCCAGTTTGGGCTATAAAACCTCTACTTATTGTGTGAAATAGGTTGTAATTGTAGTATTTGATTTTACATAGTTTGAGGAAATTTAAACTCGCTCGGGGGCGTTCTTTTATGAAGAGATCGATTGTTATGTCTCCTAAGGTGGTTTCAACCACAACGGACATGTTTATTATAAGCTTTTTTCAAATTTTGAATCAATTTTTGATTAAATAGTTGAGGTTATGTTTGATGTCTTGATGTTTTTAGGTTATGTATCTGTAATATTATTTAATTTAAAACTTAAAAGATTTATGTATAACAACAATATAAATCGATTAATATTGTTGTTTATTATTTAATTTAATTAAATTAATAAATTAAATTAATAATTTTTTTAAAATAATTAAATTTTTTTTTAGGTTGGTACTTAATTTTTGAATTAATTTTTTGACGATTTAATTAATTAAATGTAAAATTAATTATATAAATAAATTATTTATTATCGATTACATTGATTATTAAAAAAAATGTTTTTAATAATCTTAATTAAACAATCTTTTTTAATTTTATTTTATCATTTAAGTTGGTATTGAAGCAACGCGCATGCACCAAACAGCGTTCTCCATTTATACTTGTCAAGTGTCAAAAGAAAGAGGAGTTTTTTTCACTTAAAACACTGAATAAAGCGTTTTCCTCCTTATAAATACTTTAATTTGATCAATTCATAATTACCGTTAACGATTAATCCGTTGGAATCAACCCCGTTTAGTTAGTTTTCGATGTAAGTATGAATTATTGATCTTTACACTACTAACTCCTGCATCATACAAAAAAATAATTTTGTACCTTTCTAGGTTGCCGTTTATTTGATTACCACGATGTCGGTTCATTACAAGTTTAAATCCGCGCTGGAATATGACACAATTACTTTCGATGGGTTACACATTTCTGTGAAAGACTTAAAAAATGCCATCGTTCAACAGAAGCGAATTGGGAAAAACACCGATTTCGATTTGCAAGTGACTAATGCGCAAACGAAAGAGGGTACTTTTTGGTTATCTCAAGTTGGTTATTTATTAATTATTTTTTCTTAGTTTACGATGATGAAGAAGCTTTAATCGCCAAAAATACTTCGCTTTTAATCGCTCGAATCCCAGTGATACCAAGTAATAAATCAAAAAATTGGGAGGGTTACGGAAACGATTCATCCCAAATAAATCGGAACGAAGAAGGTGGGACAATTTCGAAAGCCGTTGATTTATCGAGTTTGGACGCTTCAGAAGATGATAAAATTAGGGCTATGATTTCGCAGAGTACTCAAGATTACGATCCCAGCAAGTAAGTATTGTAATAAAGCTTCCAAGAGTAATTTTACTTGAGAGAAAGAAACATAACCTCAATTCAGTTGACAGTTCATTTTTAGCCCCTCATAATTCTTTTAAAACTCTTGATATCGTTTCTAAACCATCCAAAACGGGAAGATCAATGCCAATTACATCTAATTTATTAGATTTTGAACGATTTTGACCTTAAAAATTAAAATTAATTTAAAATTTGTAAAATTCAACCTTTTTTTGTGCTTGGAGAATCTTGAAATCTCCAATGGACTAATAAAATACAAAAATATACGCTTCAAATACCAAGTTTCATTCAGATTAGTGAAGAATTAAAGAAGATATGAATAAAATAAGTTTTGGAATTTTGAGTGGTTCGAAAGAAATCCGTTAGATGGCGCTCCCCGGATTTTTTTGACATTGTCATTATTGACGTTAACGAATTTAAAAATAGAAATCTGTAATTTAACCTCTTTTTAAGCTTGAAATCGCAAAATTATTATTAACCCTTTGTGTCCCAAGAAGAAATTTTAGCAATGTATGAAATCCCCCCATTCAAGGGGGATAATGGTACTTGAGAGTACCGTCAAGCATTAAAATATATTTTAGTGATGTTGCAGTATACAAAAAGCTTTTGTTGCTAATATAAAAATAATACATAAGTAACAAAAGTTCTTTCCTTCATTATAACATAAATAAACATTGCACGCAGTACATTTTGAGTGGGGTCTAGCTTTGGCAGAACAATTTTCACAACTTCCTCTTTCTTTTGAACTTGCGCAACAACATTTTCGTGGACGCAGTAAATTTGAATATTTATTTATCAGATGTAGCTACAGAACAACGAAAATCTGATGGAATATTGAGAAAAAACTAACATTTCCGCATAATCTAAGTGTCAAAAAAGATGCTAATTCAAAAATTCTAGTTTAGAAAAAATATAAATAGTCAACAAATAGTTCAAAACGTGCCCTATTATGAATTAAATATATTCCCCAAATTTCATTTTCACAATTTCCGTCATTTTTGGAGGGCTGTAGCTCCTTAGGGGAGCTGAAGTCGCCCATGGTTCACATATTAAAGTACTCTTAAAATTGCCTAAAGAATCACCCCTGAAGTGTGGGCACGTCATTCAGATACACTCCCTGTATATAAAAATTTTTTTGAGATTATGTTTTTATTTATTGATCAAATCAAAAATATTTATTAACAATATTTGTTTAGAATTACTTCAGAAACAGTGTTTGTTAATACAATTTTTTGCTAACTTGAAATTTTAATTTCCCTCTGAATAGTATGCTATCAAAATTAATTATCTCAATAATTATTGTTTTTATTAAAAAATGTTTTAAATAAAATTTGTTTCAATTTCGATTTTGAATCAATTATCTTAATAACAAATTTTTACATCTCTCTTAATTAAGCATCTAAGTATAATTATGTATAAAAACGGAAAAATTATTATTTTGAGGTTATCTCCTTAATTATTGATTAAATCAAAAAAAAATGTTGACAAAGTTTGTTTAGAATTGTTTCAGGAAGAATTTTTGTTAACACAATTTTTTTCTAACTTGAAATTTTAATTTCCCACTGAACAGTATGCTACAAAAATTCATATTTTTGAGGTTATATCGTTATTGTTGATTTAATCAAAAAATTTTGTTAACAAAATTTGTTCAGAATTACTTCAGGAATAGTGTTTGTTAATAAAATTTTTTGCTAACTTGAAATTTTAAATTCCCACTGAACAGTATGTTACAAAAATTAATATTTTTGAGGTTATATCCTTATCGTTGATTTAATCAAAAAATTTTGTTAACAAAATTTGTTTAGAATTGCTTTAGGAACAGCGTTTGTTAATAAAAAATTTTTATAACTTGAAATTTTAATTTCCCACTGAACAGTATGCTTCAAAAATTAATATATTTGAGGTTATATCCTTATTGTTGATTTAATCAAAAAATTTTGTTAACAAAATTTGTTTAGAATTACTTCAGGAACAGCTTTTGTTAACACAATTTTTTTCTAACTTGAAATTTTAATTTCCCACTGAACAGTATGCTACAAAAATTAATATTTTTGAGGTTATATCCTTATTGTTGATTTAATCAAAAAATTTTGTTAACAAAATTTGTTTAGAATTAGTGCAGGAATAGTCTTTGTTAATAAATTTTTTTTCTAACTTGAAATTTTAATTTCCCACTGAACAGTATGCTACAAAAATTCATATTTTTGAGGTTATATCCTTATTGTTGATTTAAAAATTTTGTTAACAAAATTTGTTTAGAATTACTTCAGGAACAGCGTTTGTTAATAAAATTTTTTTCTAACTTGAAATTTTAATTTCCCACTGAACAGTATGCTACAAAAATTAATATTTTTGAGGTTATATCCTTATTGTTGATACAAAGGGTTAAAAAAGCCCAAAATAAGAGAACTCAAAAAGTAAAATAACCATTTTTCAATTCATTTGGTATAATCATTACAATATTTAGGTTATGTATTAAAATAATTAATTAATTAATAAATTATCGTTATCTTTTCTTGTTACATTGCTTACGTTTATTTTGAGGTTCAACACTAAGTAAGTGATTAATCAAAAATATTAGTTTTGAGCCTTTATCTTTGTTAATTAATGTAACCATTAAAACTTGCACGTTTTATTTTTGCAGCTATATGAAAATTCGCGGTGCGAACCAAGTGGGAGTTGTTCCATTAAATTACCGCTGTTATAAATGTCACCAGCAGGGGCATTGGATTAAAGATTGTCCGCTAAGCCAAGGACCAGTAAGTCACTTTTACAACAAATTAAATTAGATCAATAACATAATTTGTTTAGGATCCGGTTGAAATAAAAAAAAGTACCGGAATTCCTCGCAGTTTCATGGTTCCTGTTGAAGGCCCCCAAGTTCAAGGCGCAATGATGACCCCAAACGGTTCTTACGCAGTCCCAGTTTTAGACCACCAAACGTACACCCAAAAACAACAACCCCCACCACCCTCAATCCAAGAAGAACAACCCGAAATTCCAGAAGATCTCATCTGTTCGATTTGTTCCGGCTTATTAACCGACGCCGTGATGATTCCTTGTTGCGGAAATTCATTCTGCGACGAATGCATAAGGAGTTCGCTGCTTGAATCTGAAGACCACGAATGTCCAGATTGCCACGAAAGAGATATTTCGCCGGTTACGTTGATTCCTAATCGATATCTAAGAAATTCAGTCGCTAATTTTAAGAACACAACGGGGTATATTAAAAAACCGAGCTATAAAGCGCAGGTTCAAAAAGTTCCGGCTAAAATTGAGGCGGAGGTTGAAAAGGAAGTTGAGGTTATCATTGAAACGAAACCGGAAAAGGAAGAAAAAGAGGTGGATAATGAAGAAAAAACTGTTATTAGTGAAGCCGATTCTACAGAACAAAGCAAAATTAACACGAAAATTGAAGAAAATAAAGTAAATGAATATACTTGTTTAATTAAATAATATTAATTTATATCATTATTAGGAATTGGAAAGTGGAGATGTCAAAAAAGAGCCTCCCCCTTTAAAAGCAACGCTAGAAGGACCCCCGGGGGTTTCGCCAATAAGAGAAAAATCACCAAAAAGACTTCAACCGAAAAGAAATGGCCACTCATCAAATCATAGCGAGGTTAATGAGGGCAGAAATCGAAAATCGAGGGAGAATTCACCAAGAAGACCATATGAAACTACTTTGTAAGTCTAAATGTTTAAAATGACCTCAGGAACACGATGAGTACACACAATTTAAATTTGGCAGTAGCAAAAAAAATTACGCGTCATTTCCTTAAGTCTAAATTTGCAATTTTAATTTTTAAACATTTTTTGCTTCTAAAATATGTAAAGTATCCTTTGTAACACGATTAATACACACATTACAATTTTGGCAATGACAAAAATACTTGGTCTCTTAACTTCCAAATTTGCAAATTTAATTTTTTTAATTTTTTTTTATTTCTAAAATGTTTAAAATTACTTAAGGAATACGATGAGTACACACAATTCAAATTTGGCAGTAGCAAACAAAAATTACGTGATTCCAAAGGCATTTCCTTAGCTCTAAATTTGCAAATTTTAATTTTTAAAAACTTTTTTGTTCCCTAGATGTTCAAAATGATCTAAGGAACACGATGAGTACACACAACTCAAATTTGGCAGTAGCAAACTAAAATTACGCGATTCCAAAGGCATTTCCTTAGTTCTAAATTTGCAAATTCTAATTTAAAAAAAATTTTTTGTTCCTAAGATGTTCAAAATGACTTAAGGAACACGATGAGCACACACAATTCATATTTAGCAGTAGAAAAAATTATTCAACCGATTGCAAAAAGTCATATTCTTAGGTTTAAATTTGTAATTTTAATTTTTGAACATTTTTTTGCTTCTAGAATATGTAAAGTATCCTTTGTAACACGATTAATACACACATTTCAATTTTGGCATAGACGAAAATACTTGGTCTCTTAACTTCCAAATTCGCAAATATAATTTTTTAATTTTTTTTTGTTTCTAAGATGTTTAAAATGACTTAAGGAACACGATGAGTACACACAATTCATATTTGGCAGTAGCAAACTAAAATTACACGATTACGAAGTCATTTCCTTAGCTCTAAATTTGCAAATTTTAATTTTTAAAAATTTTTTTGTTTCTAAGATGTTCAAAATGACCTAAGGAACGCGATGAGTGCACACAATTCAAATTTGGCAGTAGCAAATTAAAATTACGCGATTCCAAAGGCATTTCCTTAGCTCTAAATTTGCAAATTTTAATTTAAAAAAAATTTTTTGTTCCTAAGATGTTCAAAACGACCTAAGGAACACGATGAGTACATACAATTCAAATTTGGCAGTAGCAAACTAAAATTACTCGATTCTAAAGTCATTTTCATAGCTTTAAATTTGCAGATTTTAATTTTAAAAATTTTTTTTGTTCCTAAGATGTTCAAAATGACCTAAGGAACGCGATGAGTACACACAATTCAAATTTGGCAGTAGCAAACTAAAATTACGCGATTCCAAAGGCATTTCCTTAGCTCTAAATTTGCAAATTTTAATTTAAAAAAATTTTTTTGTTCCTAAGATATTCAAAATGACCTAAGGAACGCGATGAGTACATACAATTCAAATTTGGCAGTAGCAAACTAAAATTACGCGATTCCAAAGGCATTTCCTTAGCTCTAAATTTGCAAATTTTAATTTAAAAAAAATTTTTTGTCCCTAAGATGTTCAAAATGACCTAAGGAACACGATGAGTACACACAATTCAAATTTGGCAGTAGCAAACTAAAATTACGCGATTCCAAAGGCATTTCCTTAGCTCTAAATTTGCAAATTTTAATTTAAAAAAATTTTTTTGTTCCTAAGATGTTCAAAATGACCTAAGGAACACGATGAGTACACACAATTCAAATTTGGCAGTAGCAAACTAAAATTACGCGATTCCAAAGTCATTTTTTTAGCTTTAAATTTGCAAATTTAAATTTTTTTGTTCCTAAGATGTTCAAAATGACCTAAGGAACACGATGAGTACACACAATTCAAATTTGGCAATAGCAAAAATATTATTAATTGAGGTTTTATTAATTAAATTAATTTTTTTTAGATCTCGAATGGAAGAAAGACCCGGAACTCCAACTGTAGATGAACCTGGAAACACTGTAGTTGCAAACCCCCCTGGAAATACTTCAAACACAAATTATTCAAACCCAAGCGGTCCTTACCCAACAGCTCCCCCATCACATGGAGTTTTACCTCCGCTTATGGGGATGCCTCCCCCTCATCTTCAAGGACCTCCACCAAATTTCCAACAAAATCAACCCCCTCCTGGGTTGTATTCGACTCAAGGGCCACCACCTAATTACCGAATGCCTATGGCTGCAGGAAATCCGCCTGGTCCTTATATGGGACCGTATAACGCACCAACAAGACCTCCAATGTTTGATCATACAAGGCCCCCAATTCAAGGACCACCTCCTAATTATGCGGGTTATCCCCCAAGATCGAGAGGAAGAGATTTTGGGTCAACTAGAATAAGAACACGCACTCCTCCAGGGATAATAGATGATCCTTTAGAGGCGTTTAATAGAATGCTTCGGGAAAAAGATGAGAGGGAGCGAAGGGCTAAACAGCGGAAAGGTCGGAGTTATAGTCGTAGCACAAGTAGGAGTTATAGTAGATCGCCGAAAAGGGGGCGAAGTCGATCTCCGCGTCGGAGAGGATCAAGGAGTAGATCGAGATCGTTCAGTATGAGCAGGTTGGTTTTTTTATTACATCTTAGATGGATTATTTATAATTGGCGTTTTCTGTTTCATTTTAGTCTAACTGTATTTATTATTTTATTTTCTTCGCATGCCTATTTATCTAATTCTTAAACTCTGTTTTTTAATTCGGAGGAGTGTTTTCAAATTGAAGCGCCAAAAAGAAGGTCAGCTATTAGTTTTAAGCAAAAATTATACTAGGCAAATTCGAGATGCTAAAGATTCGGGTTTAGCACGTCTCTCAGAATGGCTAAACCCAAATAATTTTAGTTCTAGGTCTTGTGTTAGTTCTAGTGATAGTGCCAGTGTAAAACTAGAACTAATACTAGACTGAGAACTAGAAACATTCGGATTTAGCCGCACGTCTCTCAAGACGGCTAAATCCGAATGATTCTAGTTCTAAGTCTAGTGTTAGTTCTAGTGTTAGTTTTAGTGTTAGTCTAGTTCTATTTGTTATTGAGCACTAGGTTATTGTATATTTTTATTAAGCTATAATGGGCACTGCCTTCCCCGTATTAATACGTTATAAAAAAAACTATTTTCTTTATTTTTGTTTCAAAATAATTTTTCCAAAAATTTTTTTTAATAAAATTTATTAAAAAGAACAATTTGGGGTTAAAGATCGTCAAAAATCCTTTATTTTGATACCAAACTCGATATATTTCTGTTAAAACCGAAAAAAGTTAGCTTAAAAACCATCAAACGTCAAACTAAAAAATTCAATTGTTTTTTTTTTAATTAAAAATTGATATCTCCGAAACGATTGGAGATAAATAGGTGGTGTTTGGACTCTTTTCAAATAATTTTTTGATTTCTTACTTAATTTCGTATTAAATTTTCTTTATTTTTATTTTTCAAAAAAAATTTTTTTAACCAAATTTATTAAAAAGAACAATTTGGGGTTAAAGATCATTAAAAATCGTTCATTTTGATACCAAACTCGATATATTTCCGTTAAAACCGAAAAAAGTTAGCTTAAAAACCATCAAACGTCAAACTAAAAAATTCAATTGTTTTTTTTTAATTAAAAATTGATATCTCCGAAACGATTGGAGATAAATAGGTGGTGTTTGGACTCTTTTCAAATAATTTTTTGATTTCTTACTTAATTTCGTATTAAATTTTCTTTATTTTTATTTTTCAAAAAAAATTTTTTTAACCAAATTTATTAAAAAGAACAATTTGGGGTTAAAGATCATTAAAAATCGTTCATTTTGATACCAAACTCGATATATTTCCGTTAAAACCGAAAAAAGTTAGCTTAAAAACCATCAAACGTCAAACTAAAAAATTCAATTGTTTTTTTTTAATTAAAAATTGATATCTCCGAAACGATTGGAGATAAATAGGTGGTGTTTGGACTCTTTTCAAATAATTTTTTGATTTCTTACTTAATTTCGTATTAAATTTTCTTTATTTTTATTTTTCAAAAAAAATTTTTTTAACCAAATTTATTAAAAAGAACAATTTGGGGTTAAAGATCATTAAAAATCGTTCATTTTGATACCAAACTCGATATATTTCCGTTAAAACCGAAAAAAGTTAGCTTAAAAACCATCAAACGTCAAACTAAAAAATTCAATTGTTTTTTTTTAATTAAAAATTGATATCTCCGAAACGATTGGAGATAAATAGGTGGTGTTTGGACTCTTTTCAAATAATTTTTTGATTTCTTACTTAATTTCGTATTAAATTTTCTTTATTTTTATTTTTCAAAAAAAATTTTTTTAACCAAATTTATTAAAAAGAACAATTTGGGGTTAAAGATCATTAAAAATCGTTCATTTTGATACCAAACTCGATATATTTCCGTTAAAACCGAAAAAAGTTAGCTTAAAAACCATCAAACGTCAAACTAAAAAATTCAATTGTTTTTTTTTAATTAAAAATTGATATCTCCGAAACGATTGGAGATAAATAGGTGGTGTTTGGACTCTTTTCAAATAATTTTTTGATTTCTTACTTAATTTCGTATTAAATTTTCTTTATTTTTATTTTTCAAAAAAAATTTTTTTAACCAAATTTATTAAAAAGAACAATTTGGGGTTAAAGATCATTAAAAATCGTTCATTTTGACACCAAACTCGATATATTTCCGTTAAAACCCAAAAAAGTTAGTTCAAAAACCATCAAATGTCAAACTAAAAAATTCAATTGTTTTTTTTAATTAAAAATTGATATCTCCGAAACGATTGGAGATAAATAGGTGGTGTTTGGACTCTTTTCAAATAATTTTTTGATTTCTTACTTAATTTCGTATTAAATTTTCTTTATTTTTATTTTTCAAAAAAAATTTTTTTAACCAAATTTATTAAAAAGAACAATTTGGGGTTAAAGATCATTAAAAATCGTTCATTTTGACACCAAACTCGATATATTTCCGTTAAAACCCAAAAAAGTTAGTTCAAAAACCATCAAATGTCAAACTAAAAAATTCAATTGTTTTTTTTAATTAAAAATTGATATCTCCGAAACGATTGGAGATAAATAGGTGGTGTTTGGACTCTTTTCAAATAATTTTTTGATTTCTTACTTAATTTCGTATTAAATTTTCTTTATTTTTATTTTTCAAAAAAAATTTTTTTAACCAAATTTATTAAAAAGAACAATTTGGGGTTAAAGATCATTAAAAATCGTTCATTTTGATACCAAACTCGATATATTTCCGTTAAAACCGAAAAAAGTTAGCTTAAAAACCATCAAACGTCAAATTAAAAAATTCAATTGTTTTTTTTTAATAAAAATTGATATCTCCGAAACGATTGGAGATAAATAGGTGGTGTTTGGACTCTTTTCAAATAATTTTTTGATTTCTTGCTTAATTTCACGTTAAAAACCCCGATTTTTTTTTATTTTTTAATAATTTTTCAAAAAAAATTTTTTTAACAAAAAAAGTATAATTTGGCGTTAAAGATCATTAAAAATCGTTCATTTTGACACCAAACTCGATATATTTCCGTTAAAACCCAAAAAAGTTAGGTTAAAAACCATCAAACGTCAAACTAAAAAATTCAATTGTTTTTTTTAATTAAAAATTGATATCTCCGAAACGATTGGAGATAAATAGGTGGTGTTTGGACTCTTTTCAAATAATTTTTTAATTTCTTACTTAATTTCGTGTTAAAAACCCCGATTTTCTTTATTTTTACTTTTCAATACTTTTTCCAAAAAATCATTTTACTCCTCCGAATTAAAAAATAGAGTATAGTAACCTAGTAGATTGTTCATAACGTATTTTGTTGTCCATATCACGTGTTGGTTGACAATTTTCAGATCGCGATCTCGGTCTTTTTCGCCAAGTCCAAGGAACGCCGCTTCATCGTATCGAGAGTACTCGCCTAGACACGCATCTCCTAGATGCAGGAGACCACCTTCGCGGTACAGATCACCAGTTAGATCGCCCCAAAGGTACATGACAAAAATGAAACAGAAAATGTCCCAATCTTGAAATAATTTTTTTTATTAAAAAATTAATTTTTTTATTAGATACAGATATAAAGAGGGCCCAATAATTGATAGAAACCGCGATCGCGATTATGATAGACACCCAGCGAGGGAGAGGGATCGAGGATATAGTAGAGATCGCGATTATGGGGGTGGATATCATCACTACGAGAGGGAGCGCGGACGTTGGCCGCCTACTTCTGGGAGGATGATCCAGGATAATTACTACCCAGCACCGGAAGTACACTCGATGCAGCAACACCCACCGGCCGCCGCCTCCAACAGGTATTTTATGCAATGTTTGCTATCGTACATTATTAGCGTTAAAGCGATCTGTAATATTTTTTTGCGACCGATGCATGAAAAATTATCGATTATTAATAACAGCAATGTTATAAATGTACCGTTAAAAGTATCTATTAAGTTTTGAAACGAAAATTTGGGTTGAAAACATTTAAAGTTGAAACGAATCTGTGATATTTTATTGTCGATGTATTTATAATACTATTTATGTAATATTTTAGAATTAAGTAAATTCACTATTTGTTATGTTACATTGTAAATATTATATATATTACAAAGTCTTTATTTATAACTGAATCAATTTTTTGATCGAAATGATTTTGCAAAATAATTAAAGGTTTTGTTTTTCTTTCACTTGATGTATAAACTTGTTAAATAATAATGCGTGTACCAAATAATCCCAGGATAAAAACAATAATCAAGGAGAAACAAAAAGGTGCAGGGGAGAGATCAACAAAGAAGAATTTCTATTTAAACCAGTGCAATTTTTACCATCTTTCTGTACATGAACTGATGTTCTTGTTTGTAATTGATGGCCAATTGCAAATAAACAGTTAATGGCAAACGGAATAATTCATTTTAATTTCCAAAAAAAATTTAGTTTGAATTTCTAGAATATATGGATGTGTGTGTGAATCTATTTTCGATACCAACGTTTTATTTTTAAACTAATTAAACACAATTTTTCCCACTCCTATAGGATCAATCAAAATAATGACTATTGAGTAACTTAAAATTATTTCAAAATTAATCTCAATAAATAAATCTCCACAAGATTTCCTTTAAAATGAGTATAAACACGATATATTTATTTTAAAAAAATCGGAATAGGGACTACTTCCGGTTATCAATGTCAAATTTAATTTTGTTAAATTATTATAAAAAATCCTTTGAAATGAATCCAAACACGATGGGGTTATCTCAAAAAATCACCGAGATATTGATATTTTTAATAACTTGCCAACTTCATGTTGATTAAAATTTGCCTAATTTTGTGATCTCCTTAATCTTCATCGAAAATCCTTTAAAATGAATCCAAACACGATGGGGTTATCTCAAAAAATAACCGAGATATTAACATTTTTAATATGTTGCCAACTTCACGTTACTCAAATATGTCAAATTTTTTTTATATCTATGTTATTTATTAAGATAAATTAGTCATGTTTGGTCTCATTTTAAAGGATTTTTCATGAAGATTAAGAATATAACAAAATTAAGCGTGACGTTTATAACCGGAAGTTGCCCATAACTCGGTTATTTTTGAAGTTAAATATGTCAAGTTTGTACTCATTTTAAAGCATTTTTAACGATTAATTAATTCGAAAGTGATAAAACATTTTTATTTTTTTAATTATAATTAAAAAATGAGCCACTTCCGGTTGTCAAATTTGACTTTAATTTTTCGATATTTTTAATTATTATAAAAAATGCTTTAAAATGAATCCAAACACGATGGGGTTGTATCAAAAAATAAGCGAGATATTGATGTTTTTAATGTGTTGCCAACTTCATGTTGGTTCAAATTAATTTTTTTTGTATCTTTTTTATTTTTTGAGATAAATTAGTCGTGTTTGGACTCATTTTGAAGGATTTTTCACGAAGATTAAGAAAATCACAAAATTAAAATTGACGTTTATAACCGGAAGTTGCCCATAACTCGGTTATTTTTGAAGTTAAATATGTCAAGTTTGTACTCATTTTAAAGCATTTTTAACGATTAATTAATTCGAAAGTGATAAAACATTTTTATTTTTTAATTATAATTAAAAATGAGCCACTTCCGGTTGTCAAATTCGACTTTAATTTTTCGATATTTTTAATTATTGCAAAAAATGCTTTAAAATGAATCCAAACGCGATGGGGTTGTATCAAAAAATAAGCGAGATATTAACATTTTTAATGTGTTGCCAACTTCATGTTGGTTCAAATTAATTTTTTGTTGTATCTTTTTTATTTTTTGAGATAAATTAGTCGTGTTTGGACTCATTTTGAAGGATTTTTCACGGAGATTACGAAAATCACGAAATTAAAATTAACCGGAAGTTGACGCTATCTCGGTTATTTTTAAAGTTAACCATATCGTGTTTGTACTCATTTTAAAGGGTTTTTAATGAGCTTTCCAGATAAGATTAAAAATAAATTGTTGGTGAAATAATTAAATTAAAATTTGTGCGAATGAACATAAAATCCATTCCTAATCTTTTATAAAGCTCAACTTCACTCACTCGGAGTCCCGATGAGCTCATCACCGCTGTTGAAGACCCGCATCGAGAAGATTTATCCGTTAGTAGGTAGTCTCAAAACTTCTTTAACGACTCTTTCAATCAAAAAAATAACACCGAATTTTTTCAGCATTTAAATGACATTTTGAAGTCGTTTTTTCTGTTTAGGTACTCATCCCGCGAGAGTTATCCACCGTATAAACCGGAAACTCACCATGTTCCACCGCCAATCATACCACCAACTCATCACGCCCCCCCACCGCGAAGATATGAAGATATCGCACCTCCAGGAACTGATCAACCCCCGATTCCTGGCGAAGAGATTCCTCCCCGTTATGATGATCGATATCAATTTAATCCCGAGGTTTCTAAGGAACGTTTTATTCCAAACGAAAAAGAAAAAGAGAAAGAGAAAGATAATGTTAGAGATTCTTTAATGAGAGAAAAAGAAGATAATAAACGAAGGGGTGAAGAAGATAAAAGGAAATATGAGGGTTATAATCGTTCTCCACCTCAAAGAAAAATTTCGCCGGAACAAAGATCTAAAAAAGATCGGCAAGAGAGTCCTGATAAACATAAAAGAAGACGACATGAAAGTACTGAAAGGGAAAAAGTTGAGCATAAGAAAGATGAGAGGCATCATCATTCTGATGATGAAAGATCGAAGAAGAATAAAGAAAAGAAGAAAAAGCGAGAGAAAAAAGACGAGAAGGATAAGAAGAAAAGGAGAGAGAAAAAGGATAAGCATGAAAGAAAGCGTGACGAGAAAGATCAAAAGAAAGAGAAGAAAGAAAACGATGTTCTAAATGAAGTTGTGCGAGAGAAAGAGAAAGATGTGGAGAAGAATCGGGTTGTTTCGGAAGACACGAATATAAAGAGACTCGACGAATTAAAAGAAGATATTCGAAAGAAATCAGAAATTGAGCAACCAAAAGAAAATTTAGAACAAAAAGATAACCAAATAGATTTGTACGAAGATTTCTTACAAGAAGGGGTTGACACAAAGCTAATCGAAAATTATATTAAAACAGAAAAAGATCCCCAAGGATCAAAAACCCCAGAAATGAAACACCAAGAAGAAGAAGTCAAAGAGAACATTGAGTTTCCACCCGAAAACGAAACATGTAAAGACGAAGATGTGTTAGACATTCACGCAAATGAATTGGAATTGAAGTCGGAGTTAGATAAAGAAGTGTTGGCCCCACTTCCGGAAAAATCAAGATGGGAACTCGAAGATGATGGCTCCCCAACGATGGACACAAAATTAGACGGAAAACAAGAACGTTCTGGAAAAGTTACAAATGAAGTATTAAAACGCGCCGAAAATGCGATTTTTGCAAAAGCAATCAATGCAATTCGCCCGATTGAAATAAAAAAGATCAGCGTTGATCGCGCAAAATTATACTCAGATCAAAAAAAACCTGAAGAATTACGAACAATTTCCACCACCAATTTCAACTTTGAAGAAGAAATCTCCGATCCAAACAAAATCGAATCAGAAATCCAAAAACCCCCGAGATTATCAGTCAAAGAACGCCTAGGCGTTAAAGTCGACGATATCGACCGAATCGTAAAAGTTTCTTTTGATCGAAATCGCTCGAGGAGTTTATCTCCACTCAGTAAAAGAACAAGGGATGATCCAATACAAATGGGGAGAAACATCGAGATTGAGAGTCGAAATCGTTACGAGAAATCATCGAAGGATATCTCGGATCAAAGATATGGAAGGAATTTTAATCCGAGATCGAACGCCGATCATGAAAGAAGACCACATCGAAGCGGGGTAAAAATCGACGGGCGAAAAGATGATCCAAAACGAAAACGATCAACAAGCCGAAGCGCTAGCAAAGAACACAAACACAAAAAAAAAGATAAAAAACAAAAAAAAGATCACCGCAGTCGCAAACACAAAAAAGACGACAAAGAAGACGAAAAAAAAGAAGAAATCCCGCAGGTTAAAACCACCGAAAAAAGAAAACCCACTTTAGATGAAGCTAATTTTGAGCCAGATTACGATTTAGAATCGGAATCGGAAAAGGAAGAAATTAAAGTAACGACGGATGATCTTAAAAAAGTTATTAATAAAATTGAGGAGAAAAAAGAATCATCGTCCTCCGATTCTTCTGATAGTAGCTCGGAAGAAGAGCGTAAAAAGAAGAAACATCGAAAACATAAGAAAAAAAGATCGAGGAAAGACTCGACGTCATCTTCGAGTTCGAGCGATTCGGATTCCTCCGAAGAGGAAAAAGAGAGGAAGCGAAAGAAACACAAGAAAAAGCAGAAGAAAAAGAAGAAGTCTAAACATAAATGATTAGAAAGGCAAGTGAAGTATTTGAAGAAAATGTTTGGGATAAAAAAAGATGACTAAGAAAATTTGCTTCATTTACTTCTATTCTAAGTGTTTAATAATTGAAATTTAATAATTTTCATTATCTTTAATTTGGATAGTAATAAGATAGTCTAAATAAAATAATTGTATACTCTAAACATTTTTTATTCTCCTTTTAATCAATGTAATTTTTTTTGGTGCTCATCGTGTTCCTTTGAACATCTTAGGAACACAAAAAATTAAATTTGCGAATTTGGAAGTTAAGGTATCGAATATTTTTGTGATTGCAAATTATGAGAAATAGTAGTTTTAGAAATTAAAATTTCAAAAAGTCATATCTTCTTTATTTTTTAACGTAAGACTGTGTTTTATATCTCAAATTAAAGCTCAAACATTCTAAATTATGATATGATACAGAAATGATAGGGTCCGATTATTAAAATTTTGAGATATATCGTCATAAACGAAAAATTGCAAAATTGGTTAGACGGTTTAAAAAATTAAAATTTCAAAAAATTATATCTTTTTTATTTTTAAAGGTAAGGATGTGTATTATATCTCAAATTAAAGCACAAACATTCTAAATTATGATATGATATAGAAAATATAGGGTTCGATTATAAAAATTTTGAAAAATATCATCGTAAACGAAAAATTGTAAAATTAGTATACAGTTTAAAAAATCAAAAATTTCAAAAAATCATATCTTCTTTATTTTTAAAGATAAGGATGTGTATTATATCTTAAATTAAAGCTCAAACGTTTTAAATTATGATATGATATAGAAAATATAGGGTTCGATTATAAAAATTTTGAGAAATATCATCGTAAACGAAAAATTGTAAAATTAGTATACAGTTTAAAAAATCAAGAATTTCAAAAAATCATATTTTCTTTATTTTTAAAGGTAAAGATGTGTATTATATCTTAAATAAAAGCTGAAACATTTTAAATTATGATATGATATAGAAAATATAGGGTTCGATTATAAAAATTTTGAGAAATATCATCGTAAACGAAAAATTGTAAAATTGGTATAGAGTTTAAAAAATCAAAAATTTCAAAAAATCATATCTTCTTTATTTTTAAAGGTAAGAATATGTGTTATATCTCAAATTAAAGCTCAAACATTCTAAACTATGATATGATACAGAAATGATAGGGTCCTATTATCAAAATTTTGAGATATATCATCATAAACGAAAAATTATAAAATTGGTTAGACGGTTTAAAAAATTAAAATTTCAAAAAATCATATCTTCTTTATTTTTAAAGGTAAGGATGCGTATTATATCTCAAATTAAAGCTCAAACATTCTAAATTATGATATGGTATAAAAAATATAAGGTTCGATTATAAAAATTTTGAGAAATATCATCGTAAACGAAAAATGTTAAATTGGTATACAGTTTAAAAAATCAAAAATTTCAAAAAATTGTATCTTCTCTATTTTTAAAGATAAGGATGTGTATTATATCTCAAATTAAAGCTCAAACATTCTAAATTATGATATGATATAGAAAATATAGGTTTCGATTATAAAAATTTTGAGAAATATTATCATAAACGAAAAATTGTAAAATTGGTATAGACAGTTTAAAAAATTAAAAATTTCAAAAAATCATATCTTCTTTATTTTTAAAGGTAAGAATATGTATTATATCTCAAATTAAAGCTCAAACATTCTAAACTATGATATGATACAGAAATGATAGGGTCCTATTATCAAAATTTTGAGATATATAATCATAAACGAAAAATTGTAAAATTGGTTAGACGGTTTAAAAAATTAAAATTTCAAAAAATCATATCTTCATTTTTAAAGGTAATAATGCCTATTATATCTTAAATTAAAGCTCAAACATTCTAAATTATGATATGATATAGAAAATATAGGTTTCCATTATAAAAATTTTGAGAAATATTATCATAAACGAAAAATTGTAAAATTGGTATACACAGTTTAAAAAATCAAAATTTCAAGAAATCATATTTTCTTTATTTTTAAAGGTAGAGATGTGCATTATATCTCAAACTAAAGCACAAACATTCTAAATTATGATATGATATAGAAAATATAGGTTTCGATTATAAAAATTTTGAGAAATATCATCGTAAACGAAAAATTGTAAAATTGGTATAGACAGTTTAAAAAATTAAAAATTTCAAAAAATCATATCTTCTTTATTTTTAAAGGTAAGAATATGTATTATATCTCAAATTAAAGCTCAAACATTCTAAACTATGATATGATACAGAAATGATAGGGTCCTATTATCAAAATTTTGAGATATATAATCATAAACGAAAAATTGTAAAATTGGTTAGACGGTTTAAAAAATTAAAATTTCAAAAAATCATATCTTCATTTTTAAAGGTAATAATGCCTATTATATCTTAAATTAAAGCTCAAACATTCTAAATTATGATATGATATAGAAAATATAGGTTTCCATTATAAAAATTTTGAGAAATATTATCATAAACGAAAAATTGTAAAATTGGTATACACAGTTTAAAAAATCAAAATTTCAAGAAATCATATTTTCTTTATTTTTAAAGGTAGAGATGTGCATTATATCTCAAACTAAAGCACAAACATTCTAAATTATGATATGATATAGAAAATATAGGTTTCGATTATAAAAATTTTGAGAAATATCATCGTAAACGAAAAATTGTAAAATTGGTATAGACAGTTTAAAAAATTAAAAATTTCAAAAAATCATATCTTCTTTATTTTTAAAGGTAAGAATGCGTATTATATCTTAAATTAAAGCTCAAACATTTTAAATTATGATATGATATAGAAAATACGGGATTCGATTATAAAAATTTTGAGAAATATCATCATAAACAAAAAATTGTAAAATTGGTATAGACAGTTTAAAAAATTAAAAATTTCAAATAATCATATCTTCTTTATTTTTAAAGGTAAAGATATGTATTATATTTCAAATTAAAGCTCAAACATTCTAAACTATGATATGATACAGAAATGATAGGGTCCGATTATCAAAATTTTGAGATATATCATCATAAACGAAAAATTGTAAAATTGGTTAGACGGTTTAAAAAATTAAAATTTCAAAAAATCATATCTTCTTTAGGTAAGGATGTGTATTATATCTCAAATTAAAGCACAAACATTCTAAATTATGATATGATATAGAAAATATGAGGTTCGATTATAAAAATTTTGAGAAACATCATCGTAAACGAAAAATTGTAAAATTGGTAAAGTTTAAAAAATCAAAAATTTCAAAAAATCATATCTTCTTTATTTTTTAACGTAAGAATGTGTTTTATGTCTCAAATTAAAGCTCAAACATTCTAAATTATGATATGATACAGAAATGATAGGGTCCGATTATTAAAATTTTGAGATATATCGTCATAAACGAAAAATTGTAAAATTGGTTAGACGGTTTAAAAAATTAAAATTTCAAAATATCATATCTTCTTTATTTTTAAAGGTAAGGATGCGTATTATATCTTCAATTAAAGCTCAAACATATTAAATTATGATATGATATAGAAAATACGGGGTTCGATTATAAAAATTTTGAGAAATATCATCGTAAACGAAAAATTGTAAAATTGGTATAGACAGTTTAAAAAATTAAAAATTTCAAAAAATCATATCTTCTTTATTTTTAAAGGTAAGGATGCGTATTATATCTTAAATTAAAGCTCAAACATTTTAAATTATGATATGATATAGAAAATACGGGGTTCGATTATAAAAATTTTGAGAAATATCATCGTAAACGAAAAATTGTAAAATTGGTATAGACAGTTTAAAAAATTAAAAATTTCAAAAAATCATATCTTCTTTATTTTTAAAGGTAAGGATGTGTATTATATCTCAAATTAAAGCACAAACATTCTAAGTTATGATATGATATAGAAAATATAGGTTTCGATTATAAAGATTTTGAGAAATATCATCGTAAACAAAAAATTGTAAAATTGGTATGGACAGTTTAAAAAATTAAAAATTTCAAAAAATCATATCTTCTTTATTTTTAAAGGCAAGGATGCGTATTATATCTTAAATTAAAGCTCAAACATTTTAAATTATGATATGATATGGAAAATACGGGGTTCGATTATAAAAATTTCGAGAAATATCATCGTAAACGAAAAATTGCAAAATTGGTATAGACCGTTTAAAAAATTAAAAATTTCAAAAAATCATATTTTCTTTATTTTTAAAGGTAAGAATATGTATTATATCTCAAATTAAAGCTCAAACATTTCAAACTATGATATGATACAGAAATGATAGGGTCCTATTATCAAAATTTTGAGATATATCATCATAAACGAAAAATTGTAAAATTGGTGAGACGGTTTAAAAAATTAAAATTTCAAAAAATCATATCTTCTTTATTTTTAAAGGTAAGAATGCGTATTATATCTTAAATTAAAGCTCAAACATTTTAAATTATGATGTGATATAGAAAACACGGGGTTCGATTATAAAAATTTTGAGAAATATCATCGTAAACGAAAAATGTTAAATTGGTATACAGTTTAAAAAATCAAAAATTTCAAAAAATTATATCTTCTCTATTTTTAAAGATAAGGATGTGTATTATATCTCAAATTAAAGCACAAACATTCTAAATTATGATCTGATATAGAAAATATGAGGTTCGAGTATAAAAATTTTGAGAAATATCATCGTAAACGAAAAATGTTAAATTGGTATACAGTTTAAAAAATCAAAAATTTCAAAAAATTATATCTTCTCTATTTTTGAAGATAAAGATGTGTATTATATCTCAAATTAAAGCTCAAACATTCTAAATTATGATATGATATAGAAAATATAGGTTTCGCTTATAAAAATATTGAGAAATATCATCGTAAACGAAAAATTGGAAAATTGGTATAGACGGTTTAAAAAATTAAAAATTTCAAAAAATTATATCTTCTCTATTTTTAAAGATAAGGATGTGTATTATATCTCAAATTAAAGCTCAAACATTTTAAATTATGATATGATATAAAAAACATGGGATTTGATTACAAAAATTTTGAGAAATATCATCGTAAACGAAAAATTGTGAAATTGGTATACTGTTTAAAAAATCAAAAATTTCAAAAAGTCATATCTTCTTTATTTTTTAACGTAAGAATGTGTTTTATATCTCAAATTAAAGCTCAAACATTCTAAATTATAATATGATACAGAAATGATAGGGTCCGATTATCAAAATTTTGAGATATATCATCATAAACGAAAAATTGTAAAATTGGTGAGACGGTTTAAAAATTAAAATTTCAAAAAATTGTATCTTCTCTATTTTTAAAGATAAGGATGTGTATTATATCTCAAATTAAAGCTCAAACATTCTAAATTATGATATGATATAGAAAATATAGGTTTCGATTATAAAAATTTTGAGAAATATTATCATAAACGAAAAATGTTAAATTAGTATACAGTTTAAAAAATCAAAAATTTCAAAAAATTATATCTTCTCTATTTTTAAAGATAAGGATGTGTATTATATCTCACATTAAAGCACAATCATTCTAAATTATGACATGATATAGAAAATACGAGGTTCGAATATAAAAATTTTGAGAAATATCATTGCTAAAATTGAAATTTGTGTATTAATCGTGTTACAAAGGATATTTTACATATTCTAGAAGCAAAAAATGTTCAAAACTTAAAATTGCAAATTTAGACCTAAGGAAATGACTCTTTGCAATTGCGTAATTTTTTTTGCTACTGCCAAATAAGAATTGTGTGTACTCATCGTGTTCCTTAGGCCATTTTGAGCATCTTAGAAACAAAACATTTTTTTTAAATTAAAATTTGCAAATTTAGAGCTACAATAATGGCATTTTACAATCCGTAATTTTTTTTGGTACTGCCAAATTTGAATTGTGTGTCCTCGTCGTGTTCCTTAATCCATTTTGAATATCTTAGAAACAAAAAAAATTAAAATTTTCAAATTTAGAGCTAAAGAAATTGCGTAATTTTTTTTGCTACTGCCAAATTTAAATTGTTTGTACTCATCGTGATCCATAACTCATTTTGAGAACATCTTACTAACAAAAAAATTAAATAAGTAAAATTTTTGTTTTATTTTAACTCTTTCTTGGTAGACACAAAAGTGCTTGACCCCTAACTACTTAAATTTAATCGAAATATCCGCTTATTATACGATTAAACCGTCTCAAAAACCCGCCCATACAAATATGAGTAATATAAAACTCGATTTTGAACCGCAAACGTTTCAGAACGTTCGCGACTTTAAAAGCGACAACATGAAGTGTTTGGTTTTTGCGTACGTTTCGTTGGTTTTTTTGATAAAATTGGTCTTTTGCGATGGCGGAACGAACCAAATCGATAAAATAATCGATTTAACTTGGGCCGTCGATGTTAACCCAATTTCTTGGCCGAATAATAAGAAGTTTATGTATACGAGACAAGTTGAGAAACAAAATGAAGATGGAAGTTGGTAAGAATTTATTTAAAGTTTAAATAAAGGTGACACGAATACCTGCGTAATGTTTAGTAATGGAATTAACACCTTTTATTTTCTTTTTTTGTTAAAATTTAAACGCAATTTGATAAAAATAAAAAAATATCTTAAATTATGAGATCATCGCAAAAATGAGTAAAAGTAAAAAAAACAGGAAAAAGTTAATTTGTTGGATTTCCTTTTTAACTTTGTTGTTTTAGGTACGCCACGAATGAGTATTGCTCCGGAGAGCACGGAGGGACTCATTTAGATGCTCCTTATCATTTTTATCAACAAGGATGGAAAGTTGATGATATTCCCATTGAAAGATTTTTCGTTCAAGGTGTTCTTGTCGATATCTCGCAAGAAGTTAATGATACGGGGAGATCGACTCAATTAACTATCGACCATTTAGATAAATGGATAAAAGAACACGGTTCTTTACCGAATAATACTGTTATGTTAATCAGATATGGGTGGTCGCAGTATTATTCAGACTATGATGCTTATATGGGTGAAGGAGCAACGCCAAATTTTCCTGGTCTATTTAATTAATTAATTTTTTTATTTTTCTTTATTAAATTTTTTTAATTAGGTATGACACCCGAAGCAGCTCGTTGGCTTGTAGACTCCAAAAGAATTATTGGCGTAGGTGTTGACACAGCAAGTTTAGATCAAGGTAACAGCACAACGTTCGACGTTCATAAAATTTTGTGTTCTCATCAAATTTATGGATTGGAGAATTTGAATATTCCCGAAGATTTACCAGGTCTTTAATTTCACTTTCTTAAAAAACCTAGTTTTTATTAATTTGTGTTTTAGCTAAAGGATTTTCTTTGGTTATTTTACCAATGAAGTTAAAACATGGAACTGGAGCCGCGGCTAGAGTAATCGCTGTGCCAAAATCAATGGCTAATTGGTAAATGTTTAAATTAACAATTTTTATTATATAAAAATAGTATTCGTTCTTGATGTATAAATAAATGTTTAATTAAACTTTGTAAGTTAGAATAAATAAAAATAAATAATATTCTGTTGCCTTAAATTTCTTCCATGAAATCATATCTTCTTTATTTTTAAAGGGAAGAATGTGTATTATATGTCAAATTAAAGCTTAAACATTCCAAATTGTGATATGATACAAAAATGATAGGGTTCGATTAAAAAAATTTTGAGAAATTTCATCATAAACGAAAAATCGTAAAATTGGTAGAGCTTAAAAAATTAAAATTTCAAAAAATCATATCTTCTTTATTTTTAAACGTATGAATGTGTATTATATCTCAAATTAAAGCTCAAACATTCTAAATTATGATATGATATAGAAATGATAGCGTTTGATTATAAAAATTTTGAGAAATATCATCGTAAACGAAAAATCGTAAAATTGGTAGTTTAAAAAATTAAAATTTCAAAAAATCATATCCTCTTTATTTTTAAACCTATGAATGTGTATTATATCTCAAATTAAAGCTCAAACATTCTAAATTATGATATGATATAGAAATGATAGGGTTCGATTATAAAAATTTTGAGAAATATAATCATAAACGAAAAATCGTAAAATTGGCAGTTTAAAAAATTAAAATTTAAAAAAATCATATCTTCTCTACTTTTAATGATAAGAATGTGTATTATATCTCAAATTGAAGCTCAAACATTCTAAATTATGATATGATACAGAAATGATAGGGTTCGATTATAAAAATTTTGAGAAATATAATCATAAACGAAAAATCGTACAATTGGCAGTTTAAAAAATTAAAATTTAAAAAAATCATATCTTCTCTACTTTTAATGATAAGAATGTGTATTATATCTCAAATTGAAGCTCAAACATTCTAAATTATGATATGATACAGAAATGATAGGGTTCGATTATAAAAATTTTGAGAAATATAATCATAAACGAAAAATCGTACAATTGGCAGTTTAAAAAATTAAAATTTAAAAAAATCATATCTTCTCTACTTTTAATGATAAGAATGTGTATTATATCTCAAATTGAAGCTCAAACATTCTAAATTATGATATGATACAGAAATGATAGGGTTCGATTATAAAAATTTTGAGAAATATTATCATAAACGAAAAATCGTAAAATTGGTAGTTTAAAAAATTAAAATTAAAAAGAATCATATCTTCTTTATTTTTAAACGTAAGAAAGTGTATTATATCTCAAATTAAAGCTTAAACTTTCTAAATTATGATATGATACAGAAATGATAGGGTTCTATCATAAAAATTTTGAGAAATATTATCATAAACGAAAAATTGTAAAATTGGTTAGACGGTTTAAAAAATTAAAGATTTCAAAAAATCATATCTTCTCTACTTTTAACGATAAGAATGTGTATTATATCTCAAATTAGAGCTCAAACATTCTAAATTATGATATGATATAGAAATGATAGTGTTTGATTATAAAAATTTTGAGAAATATCATCATAAACGAAAAATCGTAAAATTGGTAGTTTAAAAAATTAAAATTTCAAAAATTCATACCTTCTTTATTTTTAAACGTAAGAATGTGTCTTATATCTCAAATTAAAGCTCAAACATTCTAAATTATGATATGATATAGAAATGATAGTGTTTGATTATAAAAATTTTGAGAAATATCATTATAAACGAAAAATCGTAAAATTGGTAGTTTAAAAAATTAAAATTAAAAAAAACATATCTTCTTTATTTTTAAACGTAAGAAGGTGTATTATATCTCAAATTAAAGCTCAAACATTCTAAATTATGATATGATACAGAAATGATAGGGTTCGATTATAAAAATTTTGAGAAATATTATCATAAACGAAAAATCGTAAAATTGGTAGTTTAAAAAATTAAAATTTCAAAAAATCATATCTTCTTTATTTTTAAACGTAAGAAGGTGTATTATATCTCAAATTAAAGCTCAAACATTCTAAATTATGATATGATACAGAAATGATAGGGTTCGATTATAAAAATTTTGAGAAATATTATCATAAACGAAAAATCGTAAAATTGGTAGTTTAAAAAATTAAAATTTCAAAAAATCATATCTTCTTTATTTTTAAACGTAAGAAGGTGTGTTATATCTCAAATTAAAGCTCAAACATTCTAAATTATGATATGATATAGAAATGATAGGGTTCGATTATAAAAATTTTGAGAAATATTATCCTAAACGAAAAATTGTAAAATTGGTTAGACGGTTTAAAAAATTAAAAATTTCAAAAGATCATATCTTCTCTACTTTTAACGATAAGAATGTGTGTTATATCTCAAATTAAAGCTTAAACTTTCTAAATTATGATATGATACAGAAATGATAGGGTTCGATTATAAAAATTTTGAGAAATATCATTATAAACGAAAAATCGTAAAATTGGTAGTTTAAAAAATTAAAACTAAAAAAAATCATATCTTCTTTATTTTTAAACGTAAGAAAGTGTATTATATCTCAAATTAAAGCTCAAACATTCTAAATTATGATATGATATAGAAATGATAGGGTTCGATCATAAAAATTTTGAGAAATATCATTATAAACGAAAAATCGTAAAATTGGTAGTTTAAAAAATTAAAATTAAAAAAAATCATATCTTCTTTATTTTTAAACGTAAGAAAGTGTATTATATCTCAAATTAAAGCTTAAACATTCTAAATTATGATATGATATAGAAATGATAGGGTTCGATCATAAAAATTTTGAGAAATATCATTATAAACGAAAAATCGTAAAATTGGTAGTTTAAAAAATTAAAATTAAAAAAAAACATATCTTCTTTATTTTTAAACGTAAGAAAGTGTATTATATCTCAAATTAAAGCTTAAACATTCTAAATTATGATATGATATAGAAATGATAGGGTTCGATCAGAAAAATGTTGAGAAATATCATTATAAACGAAAAATCGTAAAATTGGTAGTTTAAAAAATTAAAACTAAAAAAAATCATATCTTCTTTATTTTTAAACGTAAGAAAGTGTATTATATCTCAAATTAAAGCTCAAACATTCTAAATTATGATATGATATAGAAATGATAGGGTTCGATCATAAAAATTTTGAGAAATATCATTATAAACGAAAAATCGTAAAATTGGTAGTTTAAAAAATTAAATTAAAAAAAAATCATATCTTCTTTATTTTTAAACGTAAGAAAGTGTATTATATCTCAAATTAAAGCTCAAACATTTTAAATTATGATATGATACAGAAATGATAGGGTTCGATTATAAAAATTTTGAGAAATATTATCATAAACGAAAAATCGTAAAATTGGTAGTTTAAAAAATTAAAATTTCAAAAAATCATATCTTCTTTATTTTTAAACGTAAGAAAGTGTATTATATCTCAAATTAAAGCTCAAACATTCTAAATTATGATATGATACAGAAATGATAGAGTTCAATCATAAAAATTTTGAGAAATATTATCATAAACGAAAAATTGTAAAATTGTTAGACGGTTTAAAAAATTAAAAATTTCAAAAAATCATATCGTCTCTACTTTTAACGATAAGAATGTGTATTATATCTCAAATTGAAGCTCAAACATTCGAAATTATGATATGATACAGAAATGATAGGGTTCGATTATAAAAATTTTGAGAAATATTATCATAAACGAAAAATCGTAAAATTGGTAGTTTAAAAAATTAAAATTTCAAAAAATCATATCTTCTTTATTTTTAAACGAAAGAAGGTGTATTATATCTCAAATTGAAGCTCAAACATTCTAAATTATGATATGATATAGAAATGATAGCATTTGATTATAAAAATTTTGAGAAATATCATCATAAATGAAAAATCGTGAAATTGGTAGAGCTTAAAAAATAAAAATTTCAAAAAATCATATCTTCTTTATTTTTAAACGTATGAATGTGTATTATATCTCAAATTAAAGCTCAAACATTCTAAACTATGATATGATATAGAAATGATAGCATTTGATTATAAAAATTTTGAGAAATATTATCATAAACGAAAAATTGTAAAATTGATTAGACGGTTTAAAAAATTGAAATTTCAAAAAATCATATCTTTTTTATATTTAGAGGTAAGGATGTGTATTATATCTTAAATTAAAGCTCAGACATTCTAAATTATGATATGGTATAAAAATAATATCATTTGATTACAAAAGTTTTGAGAAATATGATCATAGACGAAAAATCGTAAAATTGGTACAGTTTAAAAAATTAAAATTTAAAAAAATCATATCTCTTTTATTTTTAAACGTAAGGATATGTATTATATCTCAAATTAAAGCTCAAACATTTTAAATTATGATATTATATAGAAATGATAGCGATTGATTGTAAAAATTTTGAGAAATAAAATCGTGAACGAATTGTTGCAAAACTGGATAGTTAAATTTCAATATTAATCACAATATATGTACAAAAGATTTTATATATTGTAACGTATTTGTCGTATAAAATGGAGAGTGGAGAAATACGAGAGATCCCCCTTCAAGAAAACCAAGAGGAATAACCCTGACAAAACGATTCTTCGATTCGCCAAACATCAAAACGCGGGCGACAAGTACATTTGTCAACATTTACCGCTTTGATTGCGTGTCAACAGCACCCCAGCTCTTTCCTTCACTATTTCAATGCAAATCTTTCGATTGTGTTTACACTTGAAAACCCAAAACTTTTTACGCCGGATTTTGAAATAAACTTTTATGGAAAGTATTACTAAAACGAGGTTATTATTTAATTTCCTCCTTTTTGTAGGAGTTGAAACAAAAAAAATGGGGGTGAAAATAATTGATAAAGAACATTTTTAAGCAAACACCATCTCGAGGGAGAAGAAGGCCATTTGCATTCATTTAGAATTCCTTTTTTAAAAAGTGCCCGCCGCCGTCCGCATAAAAACCAACTGAATTTTTTATAAGAATACATCTTAACCAATCTAGTTGTGTAAAAAAAAAAGTAGTAATGATCATTATTACGAACTAATTTGAATACCTTTCGTTTCAAATGTCGCCGTTATTTTCAAGTTTCATTATTTAAATCCCCCGAACGCTTAGCAACGGTGCCTCATTCCTGGTCGTGTCTC